CCACGTATAAATTGCTAGTGTACAAATGTAGAAACTGAGGCATAAGACAGTAACATTTTCACAAAAAAACAAGAATGTTTTATTTATTTTTTTCCTTTCTGGTGAGTTACACCAATCATTCTGGGCAAGAGAATTATAATTGAAAGGAGTAAAACTATTGTAAGAATTCATTACATTGTTTTTTAATGTGGTTTTAATTCACATTCTACTAAGGAATTAGAAAAGCTGATTGTAGACACACTAATCAAACCAATGAATAGGCATTTGTGCATGCAAACCTGCGTGCATGCACGCGCGTGTGCATGCACACAACACACACACACACACACATTTAAAGCCCTGGAATTTAAACAAGCATCGATTAATAATACCTGAGGCTTTTCCAAGAAGTATAATGGGAAGTCAAGTTGTGCTGACGTCTGTATTTCTAGGGGAAGTCAGCTCTTGTATTTCTAGGGGAAGACAGCACAACTTGACCAAGGCAAAGCCATAGAAGCTTCCTAGATACTTTCAAACACCTTGAGGGACCGAGTTACTGGGCCTGAGGGCTGGGGACCATGGTCTCAGGGGACATCTAGGTCAATTAGCATAACATAGCTCATAAAGAAAATGTTCTACATCCTACTTCGGTGAGTAGTGCCTGGGGTCTTAAAAGCTTGCCAGCAGCCATCTAAGATACATCTGTCCCATCCTGTCCGGAGCAAAGGAGAAGGAAGAAAACCAAAGATACAAGGAAAATATTAGTCCAAAGGACTAATGGAACACATGAACCACAGCCTCCACCAGCTGAACCCAGAAGAACTAGAAAGTGCCCAGCTACCACCACCAACCACTCTGACAAGGATCACAGTAGAGGGTCCTGGACAGAATGGGAGAAAAATGTGGAACAAAATTCAAATTCAGAAAAAAAAAGACCAGACTTAATGATACCTGAGGTTTTTTCCAAAAAAAGACAGAGACTGGAGGAACCCCCCAAGACTGTGGCCCCCTGACCACCCTGCTAATTCAGAACTGAAGCCACTCCTGAAGTCCACCTTTCAGCAAAGATTAGACAGGCCTATAAAACAAACGTGTCTTAGTTCAATCAAATATATGAGACCAAATGGGCAACACCTGCCCAAAAGCAGACAAGAAGACTGGAAGGGACAGGAAAACTAGATGAATGGACACGGGGAACCTGGGTTGTAAAGGGAAAGGCGAAGAGTGCTGACACATTGTGGGGACTGCAACCAATGTCACAAAACAATTTGTGTGTAAATTTTTTAATGAGAACTAAATTGCACTATAAACTTTCACCTAAACACAATAAACTTTAAAAAATAATAAAAGGATAATGGTGGTTTTTTTGCCAAGGTTTCGAAGTGGTTGGTTCAGGTTCAAACCCCTGCTAAGAATTTGCATTTCTAACAAGTTTCCAGGGGATGCTAATGATGCTGGTTAGGGACCAGTTCTGAAATCCACTAGTAGAGTAGTAGTTCTCAAAATTTATTATACATAAGACTCACATGGGGATCCTGTTAAACTGTAGATTCTGATTCAGTATATCTGGGGTGGAAATGCAAATTCTCAGCAAGGGTTTGAACCAGAATGAACCGGTTTGAAGCCCTGGTTTCTGCGTATGTGGAGCATCAACTGGCTTACACATTTTTTTTTTAAATGCGAGGTGCGTACAGAATTTGAAAAGATGATGACTATTTAGGCACACTGAACAAGTGTATAAACGGATATGAAAACCTGTTGAATAAAACAATATAGACGTTTACAACTTTCAGCATCAGAGACATTTTGATATTGAGATCAATGTGGAAAAAAGTTCCTATGGTCCCTGGATAAGAGAACTTAATACTGGATTTTTCTTCACTTTTAAATATAAAATAAAAAGCCTATAAAAATTATTTTCAGAAATGTATCAAATTTGGCTTACTAATACTTCAGCTCCAGATTTGATTTTACTATACTATCATTGATTTGACAATTGCCTATGACAGGAGAAGTCCTAAAGTAGGCACTCCATACATGTATCACAAAGTAAACTCATTTAGAGATTCTCCCAGCTCAGATTATCCTAGTGCAGGCATACATGAGACACAGTGGTTCAAAAATAATTTGAAATCGCTGTAGAACCTACCAATCTGAGTATGGAATAATGCCAACACAAACAAGGAGTACTATTTATAATTGAAAATGTTACCATACAACGTGCATGAATATGCATTTCTTAGGAACTATCATGATTAATGGCAATAATTGTTGTTAGGTGCTGTCGAGTTGGTTCTGACACATAGCGACCCTATAGGACAGGGTAGAACTGCCCCATATGGTTTCCAAGGAGTGGCTGGTGGATTTGAACTGCCAACCTTTTGGTTAGCCACCAGGGATCCAATAATAGTAGCTTGGAATATAAATATAATTAATGACCTTCAGTGAATTCATTCACTGAAAGATACTGAGGAAAATATTTAGTAGTTCACATTGACTACTGTATTTAGCAGAACCCTGGTGGCACAGTGGTTAAGAGCTTGGCTGCCAGCCAAAAGGATGGCAGATTGAATCCACCAGCCACTCCTTGGAAACCCTATGGGGCAGTTCTACTCCATGCTATAGGGTCACTATGAGTTGGAATCCGTAACGGCTATATATTTAGCAGTCCAAATAGGTGTTAGAAGGACATCCAATGTCCTAGCTAGAGACAGCTTAAAATATTTACATGCTGAAACTCAAAATCAAGGCAGGTCGGGCAGCTCTCAAAAGGCAAAACCGCACCATATGTGAAAGGGGAAATGAAATAGTTAAAAATCCTACCAGACACAATCTGTTTTCAACCTATGAATGTAGTGGTTCCTAAAAGCAAGAAGATTCCCGAGTATCACTTTCATGTCTCAAGACAGTTTTTACTCTTCTATCAGTTTCATTGGCTGCTCACCCCTCTGAAGGTACTGAATTTTATATATATAGCCAAGGTATCAGGGAAAACATTGGTTGTCCAAACCAAACCTGAATTCTCTAAGTGAAGTGTTTTTTGTAAGAATATGCACACAATCCACCATCACTCTTCCCTCGATCATCAAATACAAAGAGAGAGAGAAAGGAGTAATGATTATGCTTAGAAAAGATTATCTTCTTTTGTATTTAATGCAGTGAATGTGTATTCAACATTACCATTGAACTAAACATCTGAAATTTGATACGATGAAACAAACAGTAAGTAGTCATCTGTTAATGGTTACTCTCTACTAGGTACATCTGAGGTGGTAGAATATCAGGCTTGTAGACAGCTGAGTAGTAGACATTGTCAGCACAGAACATAAATCTCACACAAGGTATAATCGAAAGTTATTTCAAGCAAATTGTCCCATCAATAAAATTTCTGTAGTAACATCAACCTCATGGTGTATTATTCCTTAGCAACAAACAATGATAGAATTCGGATGTAAGCATGTCATTATAAACATGATGCGCTAAATAGAGCATATTGAGGTGAAAGCCTTTCTGTAGAAAGGGAATTTAATTGACATTCTTTCAAGCTTTGTGTATAAACAGATCAAAATAGTTTTATCATAAGAAACAGTATTCAACAACATATCTTTAAAATAAAAATACTTTAAAAATAAGCTTTGATTAGATTAAATTGGTTTTTTAAAGAATCTTCCTTTAGAGTGAAATATATATTTCTTGCTTCTGGCTTTTCTATATTTTTCTAGGGTAACCCCCACCCTCGCCCCTATCTGGGTCTATTATTAATAAAGTAGTGCAAAACATTGTCTGCAGCAATTTCCACCATGCTTCATCCCCTACTAAGTCAGGGAAGCGAGACACTCTCACCAAATGATTTCTCTCTCCAGAGGTATACTCCCTCTTGATATACCAGGGAGTAAGAAGCAAAAACTACCCTAAGAGTCTTGGGAATGCAATTTTAAGTATAGAGTCTATGGCAAGTAGTGAAACATTTTTAAAGGCAAACACCTCTCCCCATAAGCAGTTTATTTTACAAAACAGGTTTTCATGCATTCACGTTATCAAGAATGATTATTTTTTCCATAAATGAATGTAGTGAAACACTGGCATATCACTTAGCACACTGCATTCTCCTCTACATTGAAATTCACACTAATAAAAAAAATCATAGTATGCATTAAAGTATTTCAGTAATCTAATGAGAAACAAATACCTTTTTTTCTGTGAGAACACTTCAGTATTAATTTTTTTTTAGATGCACAAAGGCATAATATGACACCAAAAGCAATACAGATTTAGTTTGCTAATATTTTTGACAACTGAATGGGCTTGCTAATTTACTAAATCAGTATAAATTAAAGTAGTGGTAGATGAAAAAATTAACTTGGGTGATCATTTACAAACCTGGCAGTATTTATGTCATCCTATAGATATTTGTAGGTTTTAGATGGAATGATAGAAGGTTTGAAAGCTTTCTTTATAGAATTTCAGGGTGTTGAAGATTCTTTTGAAGGGGTGAATGTACCTTAACTCATTAGCTTGAAATCAGCCTGTTGTTGTGTGCCGTAGAGACAATCCCGATTCACTGAAAGGTCAGCCATGCAAACCCACCCAGTAGCTCCGTTGGAGAAAAGACCTAGTGACCTGCTCCAGTAAAGATTACAGCCTAGGAAATCCTATGGGGCAGTTCTCCTCTGTCATATAGGGTTGCTATAAGAATATCAGCCTAGTCATATCAAAATAATTTGCACAGAAGTGAATATGCTCAGGATCTGAAGTCAGAATCTATGTTAAGCCGAAATGCATCCATTCCATTATTCAGGTTTTGGGATTTTCCCCCCTTTTAAAGTGTATAAAACATAGAAAATTGGAATGGATTGTTTTTTGGATAAAAAATAGTTACATTAAAAAAAAAACTTTAAAATCAAATTGACATTTACATTTTGTGTAGATTTAATCAACGCAGCTGAGCATTTAATCTAATATTCTGGTTCTTCCACTTGTAATTACAGATGTGTGTATCTTCCAATGCTATCATTCTTGCATTTTTTTTTTGTTGTTGTTTCAATGTGTTATATTATTACCCACAGCTAACAATGCTTTCACACAGCAGTAGCTAAACTTTTATCAAATTGATTCTGTACAATGGAAGTATATTTTTAAAGACATATGCCTTTGTACACTATTTACAAATCCTATCGATCATGATAAAAAAGGCAAAATAAATAAAAAGCAGAAAGACAGGAAATGCTGCTGAGGCTGAAGGCTTTTTCTTTTATCTTCCCAAACAGATGCTGGTCTCCTCGGTGCTTGGAGCTATCCAAGATTGTTTTTCTTCCTTTTACATGGGCTATGAGAAGGATCTGGTTTCAGTTCTTGGTATTGCACCTGTTTAAACAGAGTTCAGAGAAAGACTGGTCAGGTGGCCACTTTCTGGCAAAGGAAGGAAAAGCAAAGTAATGAGAGACTGCTTGGGGGAAAAAAAGTGCTCATTCAGGAAGATGTATGCGATCTGCAGCTGGGATACAGAAAACAATAGGATGATAGAGGGAGAGGTAGAAGGGAAATCCTGCCCAAAGCTACAGGAGAGCCCTGATAAGAACTTTGGTAACAGGCCGTCCATAACGCATTACATTAAAAGCAAAACCATCTCAATGGATTTTGAAGGGCTAGATCATTATGGTTCTTTGCAACTTATTGTTGGTTTAATACAATCTTAACCTCCATCTAGTCCACTCTCATGTCTGATACCAAATCAAAATAAATCTTATCACGTTAAAACAAAGAAAAAAAGGTATTGCTGCAACCCAACTTCAAGATTTTGATAACATTTCTTATTTTACTCTGAAAATGGATAGTGGTTAATGGCAGTTAAAGGATTTCAAAAGATTTTTGAGACGTGCCCCAGTCTTCAAAAGCAGTCACCTTCCCCCCACACCTCACTGATCTCCTAAATAAAAAACCCATTGCTGTCACCTCGATTCCAACTCATAGCTACCCTACAGAACAGAGTAGAACTACTCCATAGGGTTTCCAAGGAGTGGCTGGGGGATTCAAACTGCCGACCTTTTGGTTAGGAGCCAAGCTCTTAACCGCTGCACCACCAGGGCTCCAATCTCCTAAATAGTTCCACTTATTCTGGTGATCTGCTTCCCTAAACATTACAGTCAAGAAAATCCTGCGGAGCTTGGTTCTACTCTGTAACACGTGAGGTTGTCTTGAGTCAGGATCAACTCACCAGCAGTGGGTTTCGTTTTGGTTTTATTCATCCTCAAAACTCACTTAATTCATACAAATTCTGAAAAGAAATATTTTTTTTCTCTTAAATGCCCACTGGCACATTTTGCTTTCATTTTCTAATATTCTTATTTCCTCCCCTCAGGTAATGGTGACTCAAGGTGGACCCTTCACAAATTCTAGCTGAACTTTACTTGGGGGGAGATTGTTCCTGACATCCCTGGTAGATTCTTTATACAACCCCTCTTATTCTCTCATTCTTCCATTCCCCAAACATTCTCTGTAAGTCCTTCTTGGATATCACCCCATGTGAGCTAACTTCCTGAATGGCAAAATCTGCTACAGGCTTTGTTAACTTTACCTGGCTCTTCTAAAACCTTGAAATTAAAAGGATATAAAAGTAAAAGCCCCATGTCACACTAATTAAAATAATAATAATAATGAAATCTACATACCACTTGTATGTCTGAAGGGACTCTGGAAAGGAAGTCAAGTAGTTCATTGTTATCAATTGCGTATGGACTCCGAAGCTTCTTTGTAAATTTATTGATGCCTGGAAAAGTGAGAGATCAAACATTATTAAAATCCTCAAAGTTTGGGGACTATCCTATTGCTGTAGAGAGCACATTTCTGGCAAAAGCGTTGCAGTGATTTGAAGATCCAGCGTGTGTGCTGCTATGCAGCCTTGACAGAAAAAACCAAGAAACCAGTTTTCCCTCTTCCTCATTCCTGCTATTTCTTCTTTCTTTCCTTCCTTCCCTCTTTCCCTCTTTCCTTCCTCTTCTTCTTCCCTCCTTCCCAACTCTACTGCTGGTTTGTTTTTCTCTTTGCACTTCAGTAGCTTCTTCCCAGAAGAAAAGGCTTTCTATTTGGGAAATGACAGTTGGGACCTAGCAGGAATGAGCAATGACATATCTTACTTTTTCCTCACTGCTATAGTTCTGGAGCCTTGGTAGTGCAGTGGTTAAGAGCTATGGCTGCTAACCAACAGGTCAGCCATTCGAATCTACCAGTTGCTCCTTGGAAACCCTCTGAGGCAGTTGGGCAGTGGGTTATAATTCTTAAAAGCCTTGTTTCAGTGTTTCATCCAAGATGAAACTTGTTTTCCTACATTTTGGATTGGGTTATTTTTAAAGTAGGAGGTCTGTTTTATTGATTTTTTCTTTTCCTAAAGATACACTTTTCGTGGAGATGGTGCTGTTAAGTAAGCTAAATGTTGAGAAGGCACATGACCTTGATTTTTTCAAAATGACCTGAAATTGAGAAGAGTTTGCTGCTGGATTTTAGAAAATATCAACAGCTAATAGCTTTACATGAAATCAACAGGCTGATAAAAAACTGAGCCATATAACTTGAGCATCGAATCTCTTATTTGGGGAGTCTTGTGCAGAATAACCTTCTTCTTCTGGAATTTTGATGTTGGTCTCTGTCTCCCCAGGTGAGACCCATGTCTTAAATTTCTGGTTAATATTTCAGCAATCACCTGCCACTAAAGGAATATTGTTCTTGCTTTATTTCATTTGATGAAACAAGAGGCCCAAACACATTCTCTAAAAATTACTTCTAAGACAGCTAGCCAGTGAGGCCACCCCAGGTTACATAACCAGATGTCTGCCAGGGGCTTCAGTTTCCGAGAACCTGGGGAAACAAAACAGGAGGAGGTTCCCCACCTATTGGGCAATAGAGGTGCTCTCGAGCCTGAGGCAGGTCTGACCCCAGGTAGGTTAGAGGTAATAAGCTGCAGCATGTGACGCACTACCCCAAGTCCTTCAATAAAACAGCATCTGTTTTAAATATCAGAGGAAGGAATGAGAGATGAGGGCCTGAACATACAAGAGGGAAGCGAAGGCATGGTGGAAATGCCTCTTCCCTAGTATAGTGAGAGTGCTGTTTGAGTTTCTTTAAATTGTAGAAATTAGGAAATGAAAAAAAAAATCACCATTTTCCCCCACGGTGTAAAGGTAATGATAATGATGATAATAATAGGAAAACTTGTTCAAGATATGACAAGGTGGGCCAAAAAGAATAGGGAGATAAGAATCTTAAAACTGGAGGGCTTGGAGGCATAAGACCCCTACTCACTTAATTATTGTGTATTTATTCAAAACCCTTAACAAGAAAAGAACAAAAGCATCCTTTCATCTTTTTGCTTTCAGTGTAAGCTGATGTTTTCTGAGGTTAAAGCCCCATTTTGGTTCTTTGCATTTTTTATGGGATTAGCAGTCTTGGGTGTATGTATATGCAGACCAAAGGTTAGTAGGAAATTCTCCTTCTACCCAATCTTGTTTATATATACATATGAAGTCATTAATGTAGTTTACTTGTTAGTAGATCTTAGAGACTAAAAATTGAGTTTTCCAAACCAAGAATTTTGTTGGGAAAGACAAACAAATAACCACAAAGAATGCTGAAACGGACCACCTCCTAAATGGAGTCTAGGTGCATAGGAACAGTTGGCACGCAGCATGATTGCATCAGATACACGAGACCAAATGGGTAGCTCCTGTCTGGAGGCAGGATGAGAAGGCAGGAAGGGACAGAAACTGACTGAATGGACACAAGGAACCCGGGGTGGAAAGGGGGAGTGTGCTGTCACATTGTGGGGACTGCAACTAATGTCACAAAATAATGTGTATAAATTTTTGTATGAGAAATTAACTTGAGCTGTAAACTTTTACCTAAAGCAGAAAAAAAGTAAAAATTAAGCAACAACAACAATAAAAAAATGAGGACCCAAAAAAATCACCTTTAGATTAGGTTTTTGCAGAAGCACTCTAGTGTAGTACACATAAAGTAGGTTTCTTGTTCCTAAGTAGCCTGTAAGTGCCAAAGACCCTGTTCCTGCATCCTAAAGGTGACCTCTTAAACAGGTGCCCATGTATAGTCCATGCTTGCATACACTTCCACAAGATAAAGTACCACAGCACAAAAGCATATTGTCTTAAATGCACCATATGGATTGAAATGCCTCTGTTTGTGTATAAGTGGTAAAAATAAATCAGAGTGATATCTAGACAAAACTACACTTTGATATATGAAGAATCTGCACAACTACATGTTTACGACATGATGGAGCCTATGGTGCCAGATAAGAAAAATGCATTTTGCAGGTAGACCTAAATCATTATACTGTTGTGATTTTTAACTGACCTGTCTCTTTTCATCATGGAGTAGCTTCATGACCATAAATATAGAGAACCACTGACAGTATAACTCATCCCTTAAAAATAGTTTGTTCTTAGCAGTTAAGACAGTTTTAAAGAAAAGGCTTTACTTACCCCAGACAAGGACAATGTATCTCAGTGGAATGAAGTACAGGATGACTGTGAACGCACAGAGGGCGACAATGGCCAGCCAGCTTAAGAACGGGACAGTCCAGTTGAAAGTACTGAATGAAAAATTAACACAGCAGCAATCTGAGCATTTCAGACTTTTTTCAACCAAAGATGAAAATAAATGTTTAATTCAGACTCAAAATCTGGACTTGGGACCTAGTTGTACTCATTAGTTAGCATTTCTCTCTCGAATAGAAGCCAGTTGTAGCAGGCTATCAGAGGACACAGGTTAGCCCATAATCCGCTAAATTCCATGAACATAGTTAAAGGACCTTGCCACTATCCAGTCCAGATCACCCCAGGTGATTACAGGGTCTCAACTGCTGCACTACTTGGTTAATGCCTCACATGCTAAAAAAAAAAAATACTTTGTTTTTCTACTTCTAAAACTAGTATCTAACCCTGTTTTCTCCAAATTTTCACAGAGGAAAATACCCCTGGGCCTGCCATTCTTCCTTCTAATAACTCAGCATTCCCCACACAGAAAATAAGATGTTGCCAGCAATTGTCTGTAGACCTACATCTTTACACTATTGTATAAACCCTCTGAACTTTAGAATTCCTTAGAGGAACACTCACTTTCTACCTTAACTACATATCAGATGGAACTGGAAGACAGCAAAGGGGGACAGAGCAGTTAGCCTTGTAAACATTCACCTGTCATTATTGCCCTTCTTCCAGGAAATATAATAGATAATTAAGAAATGAAATCATTATGGCCTACTATTCTCTCTATATTATTGTCGGCAAAGGAGTTCACAGCACATGGTCCATCTGTTGGAACACTGAAAAGGGAGTGGAAGATGGGAAAATTGTGGGTTATAGGAGAGCAAGGCTGATGGGTCTGCAGTTTTCTCATAGTGTGGTGATTGTCAACTATAGAGGGCAGGGTCAGGGGAGGCTGCAAGATGGGATATTGACAGTGAGACAACATCAGAACAAAGAACAGAAATAGGACTAATGAATAGAAATAGAGGACGTTACAAAAAAAGACAGTATTGAGATGAAAAGGAATTTAGTGGGACAAAAAGAGAAAAGAAAGGAAAAATGAAGATAGAGAAGGCTTTCTTTTGAACAACTATGTAGAAAATCAGGGAAATATACCCTGGAAATACTGTAATAGTGTAAGGTTTTAACTTGTGTAGAAGTTCCATGGCGAATCTCTGGTAGTTTTTAAGAGTGGGTGACAAAATGATAAGAAAACAGAAGCAATCTGTGGAGCCTCCAGGTACCTATATGTCACCATTTAGAGGCATACCATTGCATTCTTTGAAATCTCTCACCAATGTTCAACCATCAAAGAGGCACTAATATATGTATTGAAAGACTGTTTAGCACAGTTTAATGAAAAGAGCTAAGGAGTGAGCAGATTTGAGTTCAAAGCCCAGATTCTGCTATGTGACTTTAGATGAGTCAACCTCTCTAAACCTCAATTTCCCCCTTTATAAAATGGGGACGGTTTTAATGTATCAAAGCAGACTGATAGTGATGGCAACATGTTTGTGAATCAAGGTGATATTACCAGAAGTGGTCAACTCCAAGGAGAATTTCTTCTTAAAAGGCAATGAGAAGAATCCTCCCAAAAAACTTCAGGGAAATATGAAATTTTACATAATGTGGATAAACATTAGTGTTGATTATTTCTTTTAATTTCCTGGTGATGTATGATACAGTGATTTGGGGTGGAGTTTGCTCAGGGTAGAGTGTGGGTGATACAAATAGTTAATACACTTGGCTGCTAACCAAAAGATCAGTGGTTCAAATCCACCCAGAGGCTCCTCTGAAGTAAGGCCTGGTGATCTACTTCTTAAAAAATCAGCCATTGAAAACCCTATGGAGCACAGTTCTACTCTGACACACACAGGGTCACCATGAGTCAGAATCAACTCAATGGTACCTGGTGGTCTGTTGTTGTTCAGGGCAGTTTTTAGACCTAATAAAGGATGATTGTTGAGTAGATTCTCTTCCCTTGCTGCATCTCGGTATAACACTTAAGAGTCATTCCTTAGCCTTGTGGCATGTAGCTTGCTTTTTTGTGTCTCTCTGGGTCAGCTGTTTCCTAAAATTGTTCTCTCTAATAAAAGAGCCAACGCTGAACCACTCTGGTTGTGCTGTTGGCAGTAACCCTTGAGTAAAGTCTGGCTTTTCTGTGTTTGTTTGTCTTTTTCCTCTCATGGCCAGAGTGGGGTCCTGTAACTGTCACCAGGTAAAAGATCATGGCCTCCCTCTTTTATGAACACCTGGCCTATTTGTTACTGCCTGCATGTGGAGAGAACAGAAGGCTGAGGCTCTGCTTGCTCTCCTGTGGCTCAGCTCAGAGCTATCCATCACACTACCCCATGTGTGAGGGCACTGGCTCTCCATTCAAAAACCCTCCTTCTGGGCAGCCTCACTCAAGGGCTCCCCGTGCCCTCTTTTTTCCTCTTGGAAGGATAAACGGCCAAGAACCCTCACCAGAGTAGCTAATGTCAGAAAAAAAGACTGCCCTTTTCTATTTCAACATTCTGTATTATAGGCCCTAAATCTAGAATATCATCTTGGCCAAAAAATAGAGATGAAATCCAAGAAAGTTCTGGAATGATTGTATAGTGACAAGAAGTGATAATTATAAAGGTTTTTCACTTTGTGCTTAAAGATTACTTCTGAATGTGCTTTGTGGATAGATGTTTTTTATCCCATGAGGCTCCAGGAAAATTTCTCTTTCCTTAGCACCCAAAAGTCCCTGGGTGGTGCAAACGATTAATGCACTCAACTGCTAACTGAAAGGTTAGAGGTTCCAGTCCACCCAGAAGTGCCTTGGAAGAAAGGTCTGCTGACCTACTTCTAAAAACTCAGCCAATGAAAACCCTATGGAGCAGTTCTACTCTGACACATACGGGGTTGCCATGAGTAGGAGTCAACTTGATGTTAACCGATTATCTCACAAAAGGTCACTGTGCAGAAGAAATGGCTCCTATAAGACTCACTGGATCCTAGCCATGTTCTATACCTCAGCATGGAAAGCTCTACAAAACCCAACTTTCCCAGGTCTGACCCATGGCCAGGATCTGGTCAGATACTTGAGCTGGCCGTTGTGTTTTCCATTCAAGCACCTGCTCTTCAGCCTCCTACCACCCAGAGTTACAAAGGAGCCTCTTCCCTCAGGCATTCACTAGCCTGACCTTGATGCTGACCCAGAGTTTTCTAGTATAAATGGGATATTTCAGGCAGGTATCAGCACACACTGTAGCCCAAAGACAAGACAACAATCAACAGGGAAATGCCCCAGTTTTGAGCTTTACACTGTGCTTCAGTGGATGGGATGTGGAGGACAAGGGAACATTCTTAGAGATGGAAATAATATGGAGAGGGAGAAAGAGAGAAGATGTGGAAATCAGCCTTTCCAAGTCTGAGGCAGAATGTTGCTTAGAGGCACATTTGGGAGTGAGAGGGAGGCTGTTCTGTCTAATGTAATACAAGAAAGTGGAAACTCAGCATCTATGCATATGTGGAAATATTAAACAAAAAATTATACAAAATAAAATGCATTGTCCCTTGAAACATGAAAGGCACCGGATGAATGACTCACACCTTTAGTCTAAATAATTTACTCCTTTCAAGCTCTGCATGCCCAAGGATCCAAATCTGCAGAACACTTTGAGTTATGAATAATAAACAATGAATAGATACATGAAACTAGGAAAATCTAGGCTTGTCTAGATACACAGCACCTCTTCTTGGACAGGCCATTAACAGGCATTATGTAGGCCAATTTTCACATACTTTAGTAGTATGGGGCCTTAGTATATTTTTAAAAGATAATCAGTTGTTGTAAATCCATCTTATTATTTCTATAATCAAACAGTTGTTTTTAAAAGTATATTAGTAAATAAAACTATTTGATCATGAGCATAGCTGGTGCACACATAAAAAAATTACTTGAAATGAATCACAAAGAATGTAAGATTATGAATGCAAGTTTCTTAATGATTAGATTCCAATGAAGGTATATTTTCTTACTTTAAAAAATTAAGGAAAATTCTGGGAATTTTCTAAGTGACAAACTGTTAGTTCATTTCATCTATAATCATGACCTCAGCTATTTAAATGAACAACTTTAAAAAAATTAAGAATATTTTTGTAGAGTATTATCTATACATAATAACATTTTTTAATATTTAGAGTAACCTGATGAAAATATAACTTTACCAGTAATAAAATGCAGGTGTGGCTTGATTACCTGAAATCCTCGTTTAGCTTGGCTTGTATATATTTTTTCTATCATGATTTCATATTCCATTTAAGAACAAAGTCTTTTACTGTGAAAATGTGCTAAAATTTGGGACGGTGTTATTTCTTCAAAGCTACAAGTATGACTTTCTTTCCAACCAATATGTTCTAAATTTCAGGAAGGAAATTGACAGAACTTTCATAAAACCAAAGATGGGCAGAAACAAAGTAAATAACGATGAAATGGAGCAATAAATCACCCAGAAGGAGTGTCCCCTGCCAAAGAGAATGTGGCATTTCATCCTCAGAGAAACAAATGGCCTCCTGGTTCCCCAGAAGGCTGGTTCCCACACGTCAGCATCACTCACTTCTTTATCCTTTCACCAAAGGAAGCCACTTCATCTAGGATGTTCTGGACACTGACACATACCTCCTGGATGGCATAGATTTTATTTATAAATCCCTTTTTTTCACTGTCCTAAAACACAATAGAAAGACAGAGTCTGTATAAGTGAAGGTATTCTTCAATGCTTGGATTCTTTGAGTTGTCCTTCTCTTGCATTGTTTTTTTCAACTTCAATAAGCATCATTTCTGTGTGTATATAAATGGATAATTGGCATCCATGAAAATTCAGGATGTGAAGGGAGATGGAGGAGGAAGGGTACCCAGCATCACACTACTATATGTTACCTATGCTACTGGAAAGGTGGCTGCAAAGCAGGAGACGTAGATACTATTGTCCTTGCCCTGATGAACAGAAACTTTTCAGGGGGTCCAGGTGAGGAGGAAGGTGGGTCTCGGAATGACCAAACTCAGAACTGGGAGGCAGGACCCTCTTCACTGACCCTGGACCACCATGACTAGCCACTCAGCTCCCCCAGTTTCTTGACCCCATCACCCACAGACCTAAGTTCAGTTGTGGTTCCAGATATTTCAGCAGCAGAGAATGCTGAGTGCAAATGAGAAGACCTGTAAACAATGAAAGTGCAAAAGACGACAAGGTCGACAGAAATCTATTAAGTGACTACTTCCCGGATAGTACCTTAGGTAGATCAGATACACACTAAGCCTCTTAAAAATAATGGTCATATACTTCATACAGTAGCATATGCTATATTAGTCAAGGTTCTAACTTCACATTTTTTCTCCTTTTTGCGCTTAGTTCTTCGTTTTAAATCTTCTGCTGAATTTAAGCAAACCTTGTGTGCTTTGGAGAATGGGTGGGTGGAGATGGAGCATGAAGCGCCCAGGGTGGTGTGGGCCTAGAGGAGATGTGCACATTCTGTAATTTTAGACCTAGGGAAAGAAATAGTGGTGGCCTTTCACGATTGAAAATTCTGCTTAGTAGCCTGGCATCACAGGCACTTGCCTAGGCTGTCTGGTGGAGACCATCCAACCCTGATTCCATGACTCCATTCCTCCATGCCAGCTTGAATATCTATGGAAATGTAGATCCAATTTCATTACTTTAACTTCTTTTGAACACTTGCACACTGTGCCAGAACACTTGAGACCTCATGTGGCAGTCAGAGCTTGCTGAAAGCAGCCAGGAGGCAAGAATAATAATGTCGTCATGTTGCACATTTACATACTGACTTTCATTTCAGAGGAGTCTACAGCTCTTTACACTGTGAACATTCGGCCGGGGCTGGCAACCTGCCACTCCAGACACTGAGGGCAAGTAGATGACAGGTGTGTATGCATCCTCCAAGGACAGAAGGGTATGGTGGGACAAAGGACACGGCGACCAGTTAAATAACTTGATCTTTAATATAGATACTAGTCACTTAGAGGCTCCATTTAAAATTTAATTCCCATGGGAGATCTTTTTAAAATTATTCATTTAGTTTATACCAAAATGGATTGTCAGACAATGAGGTAGAAGAGATGCATAAAGCCTCTCATTAAAAGTATAAGGGACAATTAGCTATTCAGGGTCCCCACTATCTTCACTTGCCAATACAGACATGGGTGCATCAATTTCTTATCTTTTCCCTCACTCCAGAAATAGACCAAAATGTATTAATTCAATTATGCAACTGCATACTTTAGAATAAGGAGGTCTGGTGGCACAGTGGTTCAGTATTCTGCTGCTAATCAAAAGGTCAGTGGTTCAAACCCACCAGTTACTCCACTGGAGAAAGATGTGACAGTGTGCTTTTGTAAAGATGCTTTGCAATAAAATGAATAACTAGTGGTTTCTTCCAGTTCCTTTCATAGCTACAAGTCTGGGCTATTAATCGCTGTGGCCTTTAGTGTTCACCTGTCTCAGGCACTGGATAAGTTCATTTAGGTTTATGACATTAAGTGCTCTTATATATATTTTTCAACGTACAGAACAAATCAAACCAGTTGAAGCACGCTGGTTACGCAACAGAAGTCCATTGAGAATAACGTCTTACCAGTTCGAAACTATTATGGGAAAAATATTTCTTTCACAAAAACAATAAAATGTACAAAATACTCAGGTATTACTTTAACAAGAACTGTGCAAGATATATATGAAGAAAGTAGAGATACTATGTTCCTGTACTGGAACACTGAATATTATAAGAATGTATTTTTTGTCATTGAACATATAGATTCAGTGCAATTTCAAGCAAATGCTAATGTGTTTGGAGTGGAGTGAAATAGGGAGAATTCGATTAAATGTTTCTAAAATTTGTTCGGAAGAATAAATGGGTGACTTTTTTCTTTTTTTGCAAAACAGCAATAATAAGAAGGGATTTATTGTACTAGATATTTAAATTATTATTATAATAATTAAAGTATATGATATGGGCATATGATAAGGCTCCATTATAAAAAGGAAGTATTGTGTTACAGGACCATTTTTTAACTATTTGAGGAAATTATGTTAGATCCTACCTCACAACAAAGCCCAAAATATTCCAGATTAATTTAAAAACTAAAAGTTAAAAATAAATTATACAAACAGAAGAAAAATATAGGTAAGTTATTTACTGACCTAAAATACAAGCAGTACAAGAAATCACAAAGGAAAATAATTGATGACAATGGTTATATAAAAATATAAAGTTATGGTGGATTTGAACTGCCGAGCATTTTGGTTAGCAGCCTAACTCTTAACCAGTAAGCCACCAGGGTTTCCTATCATGCTGTAGATCATCATAAATTTAAAAGATGAACTGGGAGAAAATTTGCAACAAATATAACAAATGATACGATGATATTTCCAATATATATTCAATAAATATCTGAAAAAATTTGATTGCAGTTTTGTTTACTGTCATGGATTGAATTGTGTCTCCCCAAAATATGTGTCAACTTGGTTAGGCCATGATTCCCAGTATTGTGTGGTTGTCCTCCATTCTGTGATTATAATTTTATGTTAAAGAAGATTAGGGTGGGATTGTAACACCCTTACTACGGTCACATCCCTGATCTCATGTAAAGGGAGTTTCCCTGGAGTGTGGCCTGCACCACCTTTTATCTTAGAAGAGATAAAAGGAAAGGGAAACAAGCAGAGAGTGAGGACCTCATACCACCAACAAAGCAGTGCCAGGTGCAGAGCGTGTCCTTTGGACCCGGAGTTCCTGTGCTAAGTAGCTCCTAGTCCAGGGGAAGATTAATGACAAGGACCTGCCTCCAGAGCTAACAGAGAGAAAAAGCCTTACCCTGGAGCGGACGCCTTGAATTTGGAGTTCTAGCTACTAGACTGTGAGAAAATAAATTTCTCTTTGTTAAAGCCATCCACTTGTGGTACTTCTGTTATAGCAGCACTAGATAATGAAGACATTCACAAAAAAGAGAAAAATCACTAGCATGTTGGATAGAATTAATTATGGGTACATACAATTGGTAGACTATAATGAAATAAAAAAAATTGAAAAAAGCAAGAAGTAAATATCATATATAGTCTTAACTGATTTTAAAAATGAGTATGTTAGAAAAAAGATTAAAGGAATGTGTCAAAATATTCCAGGTGATGAAAGTTTATCTTCTTCCTCATAGTGTAATACTCAGTCTTTGCAAGGAATATGTTTTACTTTAATAATCAGAATATTTCCCTGATTCTTCCAATATCATTATGAAAAGAAGATAAGTAGAGGAAATAAATGAATTGGTATTCACTGAGCATGGTTTTACTGTGGCTTAGTTATCTTTTTTCCTTAATGTATTTTTCATATTTTTCTAAATGATCTTAAATTATTTTTGGAAAGAAGTAGAATATAAATAGACACTCATTAAACACTTCCAAAACCAAAACTGAACCCATTGCCATCGAGTTGATTCTAACTCATAGCGATCCTATAGGACAGAGTAGAACTGCCCCATGAGGTTTCCAAGGAGCGGCTGGTAGATTCAAACTGCCAAACTTTTGGTTACCAGCCCAATGTTTCTTACGTAGCTTGTTTAAATTTCACAATCATCACACAAGTAGATATTTTTCTCAACTTTACATAAAAGGAAACTGAAGCTCAGGGATCAGTGATAGAGTTTGGATTGGGACTATGACTGGCCAATTCCATAGTATATTCTCCATAATATACTATGTAACTGTCTTAGTTATCTAGTCCTGCTATAACAGAAATACTACAACTGGATGGCTTTAACAAAGAGAAATTTATTTTCTCACAGTCTAGTAGACTAGAAGTTCAAATTCAGGGTGTCAGCTCCAGGGGAAGGCTTTCTCTGTCGGCTCTGGAGGAAGGTCCTTCTCTTCAATTTTCCCCTGGACTAGGAGCTTCTCAGCGTGGGAACCCTGGGTCCAAAGGACGCACTCTGCACCTGGCACTGTTTTCTTGGTGGTATGAGGTCCCCCACTCTCTGCTCATTTCCCTTTCCTTTTATCTCTTGTAAGATAAAAGTTGGTGCAGGCCACACCCCAGGGAAACTCCCTTTACATTGGATCAGGGATGTGAGCTGAGCAAAGGTGTTACATTCCACCTTAATTCTCTTTAACATAATCTAATATTGCCTCATTAACCACAGGCGGAGATTAGGATTTACAATACATAGTAACATCTCATCAGATGACAAAATGGTGGACAATAACAATATTGGGAATCATGGCTTAATCGAGTTGACACATATTTTTGGGAGACACAATTCAATCCATGACAGTGACCTTCCCACACCATCCAGGAGGGCTTTAATTCCTACCCAGAATCTCTGGGTGATAAATAAGAAGAAAAGACTTGAAAATGTTTAGGAACTTGTATTGGAAATATCATGATCTAGCTTTGAAGTTCATCACACAGCTAAAATCTTCAGCAAGAAAATAAAATTCAGGAGGCGGGGCCAAGATAACAGTAGTCATATGCTTCCTGTGGTCCCTCTTACAGCAAAGACCCAAAAAAACAAGTGAATTGATTATCTGTGACAATCTAGGAGCCTTGAATATCAAAGGCAAAGTTGAGGAATTGGACTGAGTGGCAGGGGGAGGGAGAGACAGTTCAGAAGCTGCAAGGAGTTTCCAGACCTGACCTGGCAGGAACCAGCACCCTGCAGCC